ATTATGGCTTTGACCATCTATTTATAGCAAAATTTACACAAATTAATATCGATTGACTTAAAAAATGTCGAAAAAACACAAGCAGTCGTTGCTTTTCCCGTAAGCCGCCGTGATAAGAAATGCTTGTCGGTTCACACTTGGTTTAAGTCTCAATTTACTTCCTTTTTGGAATATTATTCAAGAGTATGATATACATTAATGGATTCACTATGGCTTTAACTACCCATTTGCAGCAAAATTTGCAAAAATTAATGATGATTGAATTAAAAATGTCGAAAAAACACAAGTAGTTCTTGATTTCTCCATAAGCCACAATGATGATAAGTGCCGTCGGGTTCACACTTGGTTCACCCTTTTCGGGGCACAAGCTGCTCGGAAAGGCCCGTTAATGGATTGACTTCATCGGCGCTCCAGTACATTGCGACTCTATTGTACTCTATGTTCCGCTCGTGAGTTGCTGACTGCAGAAAGCACTAGCACTGTCACTCTACCGTGTGTATGTGTTAGTAAATTCGGGTTAACGATTTTTGGGACTTGATCAAAGCTACAGCCTAAACGGTAAAAGTAAACCCCTACTCATATATAATTTTTAGAATCCTCATAACTTCCGGATGTTCCCTCGAAATAACCATAATTTCATTCCAGAATAGTGTAAGCGAGAAATTCAATGATAAGCAACGGCAGGTCGGGTCGCCCATTGTACCCAAAAAGCAGTTTAGAGACGATTTCTCTCTTACGATTCCTTGAATCTAAGTGAAACTTTCAAGCGCACTAGACGAAAACATAACAATTCTTTTGATATAACATTATATCTAACATTATATATATAGGGCTCTGATGTCTCGTATTCTCCATAGCTTTGACAGAACGTGAAAATGGTCAAAGTGGATACTTTTTGCTATATTTTAGGCACATATGCGTAATTATCTCTTTTAATAAATCATCAACTTCCTTGAAACTCTCCAGTTCGTTAGACGGAACCGAGACGCATCCTTATAGACACCAAAATTTCTAAAATCCGTCGCTCCGTTGCTTTTAAAAGTTTACGGGACCGCAACTAAAAACCCAAATAAGCCAAATTCGTGTAACTATGGTGTCGTTGCCTCGACCGCGCTGTGCTGTGTTGCCAATTGTTGAAGGATAGGTTACTTGCCTGGTTGTGGCTACCGCCATTCATGATTATGCAAATTCGTAACTACGACCTATACTCGAGGCTCATTACATGGTCTGTGGTGCAGGTCTGACATCAGGATAAAACGCAAAAGAATGCATTTCCTTCGTAAAATACACTAAGTAATAGGCCGATTGACGTGACATTCTGGTCAATTTTTACATCCTGGGAATTCAGGTAAGAACTATGCCTTTTTAGTTTGTTGTATGGACTGGAAAGAGCTGTTACGTAAGCTAATATGAAAGTTACACCCCAGTTTCTTGAACGTTAGGCCTAGCCGCGGTGATTCGTTAAATGGTTTCCCTCTTTGGACTCTTGGGGACGAGTTTTCTTTAGAACTTGACATCGTATAGGAAAAAGATTCTCTGAATATTTTCATTTACATGTATTAAAAGTGAATAAAACGTTCTCAAATCGAAAATAATTACGAGAAACCGCGCGGTTTTTCGTTTTCATCAAGTTTTATTCATGGGAAATTTTAAAAAATCCAAAGCAAAGTGGGTCAATCATGGGCGTAGCTAGGGGGGTCCTGGGGGGCCTGCCCCCTCGNGAAAAACGGAATCCTCCATCCCTGCCCCACCCCCCGCTCTCTTCACCACGAGAGGTGGTCCCATGCCCCCCCCCCCAGAGAAATTTCCTAGCTACGCCCCTGGGTCAATAAAGGCAACAGAGGACCGCAAGGCACCTCAATATTCATTGAAGTTCCATTAAAGGCCAGGAACGGATAGTATGCAAAAAGTACATAAAAACCGTTTCATGTAAGAGTGATAATAGTCGAAAAGTTGACGAAAATAATTATTTCTCAATGCCAGGATTCTGGGTCTGAGGTACTGCTTCATCTTTGTTCGGGCTCTGCTCGGTAAAATATTTATCATAGAGTCTACCCACGACTTGTACTTTGAAAATATATAACATTTAGCAAAATCAATAATTTCCATTTTCTTACCACTGACTGTGCAAAGTGTGAGTGAAGTAGGTAGTTCTATTTTGACCCCATAGTGCAATAAAACGTATTTGAAAATTATTTGGAAAACAATTAGCAATGCTTAAAATGTTCACGCAGCGACTTCCCTCAGCATGGTCGTGTAATCGGAGAGTATGCGAGATTGATAATTTCTTACCCGCGTTGTTGACCAGTATATGTACTTTTTCCTCTGTTGCCAAAATCTGATTCGCACATTCGCGAACAGATTTAAAAGACGCCAGATCCAGCTTTCTGACTATCACTTGTCCAGGGTTTCCAAATTGCGCCGCCTTTTTGATTATGATATCCGCTGCTTTTTGAGCTTTTTCTAGGTCCCGGCAAGCCATAATCACCCGAGCGCCTAAAAAAGTCAATCGAATTTCAACTACTCACTCAACCAACTAGGAAGCAAGTGGGAGCAAATAAAAACTAAACAAGGGGTCGGTTCCAACGGACGTTGGAGAGCGTTCGCCGTACGAACTTTTTCATTTTTACTAGGAATTAATTGAATTACATTCGACGTTCATAAATCTTCATTTCCTCCCAAATTTAGCAAAAAGAACAAATTGATACAAACAGCAATGACATGAAAATGGCATGTGTCCAACATTCCAGTTATGCGGCACGCTTTTCCAACAAATTCGTGTCGAATTTGTCTCCTCGTTTTTTTCATAAAATTACTAATAAAAAAGAAACAAGCAGTGAACTCCAACACCAGTGTGTTGATAAGGCGCGTCATTAACTCGCACATATCAACCCCTTTAGTTTTCATTTACAGAGATTTCAAAATAGAAGAGCACCACAGAAAGAGAATTCACGATCCAACACTGCGAGGTCAACGACGCACCTTGACTAGATCGTGTATTGTGAATGTAGAAAGCTATTTGAACGAATTTAAGTTTTTCGACCTGCCTAGTATCAGATTCTTGAAGAAAAGTGCTACGGAATTATTTAAGCGAAGAAAGGAAAAATTCTGTCGAGCTCCTAGAAGATAAAGTCGATTTAAAGGTATTTGGGTTCTAAAATACCCAAATCACCGTTAGTGTAGGTAAATCCCGTTATATAATTGAAAAGATTTTGACTCGATGTAAATGCATTTGCATTAAATATGTCTTGATTATGCTATTTTAAACGTTTTTCTATGCAAAGAAGTTCAACCATGCATGTCCATGCTTTATTCATTCATGAATTGAAAGTAAGAAATCTACATCCCGAAAATCTACCGATTTGCCGTAAAAAATCGCAGGAACTTGATATACCAGGTCGATGTACCGACTCGTTGAATTTACGAATCAATTTCGTGAGTGAAAATATGTAACAGTCAATATGCCATAGTCATTTTGGGTGCATTTTTTTGTATGAAACAATAATAAGTCATTTCAATCCCGAAAAACCATAAATTTTCCGTATAAACTCGAAAAAATCGAAATGTGTCGACTCCCTGACGTGAAAATTAGATTCTACGTGTAAAAATGTCTATGTATCGATATGCTAAACAGGAACCATATGTAGACACAGTCAGAAGTCTGCGGCAACATCAATTCAACAGGAAAACGGCAAGAATTAGAGCGGATTTTAGCCGCTTTGCCCGTCTCTCTTCGTTATTTACGAACCGTTCCCATACTCACCTCAAAATTTTACTCAGAGCCTTGTGTTATTATCAGCTTCCCTTTAAACCCCAGTTCGATGGTCGAATCGGCTGCCCAAATAGCAGTAAGCCATTTTGGATGGGTTCAATGAAAAATTCGTGATATTATCGACTCTCAGGAAATCACCCCGGCATGGCAAAAATTGGTGGTATAAATGTTCGAGTGCTTAAATTAATCGTATTAGAGAAACTAAGGCATTAAACTACGAAGTCAATTACTTTTTAATAATATAACGAGATTCACTACCGATGATTTAGCTATTATAGCCCCAGAATACTTTTAAAGCGCCTTTACGTTCAAGAATCTCGATGGTTTTTTTTTCTTTTTTTTTTCTTTGGCTTAAACGACTTAAGAGACACTGTAGTTAAAAATATAAAGATTTTTCGAATTGGACATATAAAAAATGTTTAACTCGTTCAGGCACACCGTGTACTTATTGTATAGAGTACTGCTGCTATTTGACCCTTGTCTTCACGTCAAAACTCTTACAAAGAAGTCTCTTACAAGGGGCGAATTTTCCGTAATTTCTCTCAATTTTTCTCCGTTATATAATTGAATTGCTCGTCAAATTTTAAGGTCAATTATATTTAGTTGTAATTTATACATTTCTTTTTTCCCCTTCATTTTATTTTTTTTATGGAGAAATCGAGGTTTCGTTGATTTCTTCGGATTTCGAATACTGTAACTTCTCTTCTATTCGGCAGATTTTTATGAATGAGGCCTCTTTTTATTCGTGTTTTAACGGAGAGTAAAGAAAAAATTGCTAAAAACACGCAAAACAATTATTTTTAAAAATCTGACGAATCCTAGCGTGACGGTGAAATCGTTAATCAAGCGTAAGTAATAGGGTCCCGACGGTCGCCTCGCCGGGAGCCGAGCTATTATGTTTTTCGAGAAGCCGACACTAGGGTCAGGCGCGCGGGGAAGAGAGGGGTAGGTAGATTTCTATATGTGCGCAAGTAGCTTCCTGTATGAGCCACGTTTAGCAAATGGTCTAATAAGTCTCGAGGCTCATTACAGATTGAACATACGGCTGCCTTGGCTGGCCCTGGCTATCAGAGCAGTGGTACCAAATTTTAAAAGCATAACAGGGGTGTGGAGCTCCGTCAGAGCAACTTTTTTAACAAAACGGAGGAGTGAAATTCTCATTCGAAGAGTGCCGGACTGCATCAGCCATCCTCGAATCAGTTCGTTTGCTTCTGCTTATGTATGCATATGTGGCGGCCAATCACCGCTCACGTCTGGCGACGCAGCCCATGGTCGCCCCTGATTGGCTGACGCAATCTCAACTACGGCTATATAGGTCGTGGCCACACCGACGCCGGACACTCCGCTCCCGTCAACCACACGAACCACATCTCTCACCTGCGGATATCATGGAGCCGGCCGGCTAGCCCCTTTTCCAACGGCCCTGTTTAGGACCACTACTTTAGAGCACCTCATCTGGTCTTCGGCCATATTGGTGACTCCCGACGTGAGTAAACACGCTCAGCCTTATGTTTCGCTTCATTCATTCATTCATCCTCACCTCAGGAACACACGCTCAACCCTCTCTCAGGTCAACTGCACCCAAGCACTCAAATTCAAATCTCTCACTGGAACAGTCATATTTGATCATCTTAGCATGAGCATTGAAAGCTTCTAGCATCATATCACCGCATCCTATCCATCTCTCTCCGCCGCGCAAATCAACACGCCCCAGCAAGTTGCCGCAGAACACAGCACGTCCCCAATTTGTTGTCCCGAGCACTGACCTCTTTGCCCGGAAAGATGATGGTCACAAAACTTCAACCGCGTGTCACCCGAGTCGAATGGCGCTCCCCGGTACGCTGACATGCACCTCTTACTTCTCACCACTCAATCAATCCTCTACTCACTCAATCAACCATCCCTCAACGCTCCATCATCACTCAATCAAATCCTCAAACTTTCTATCATCACTCTCTCAATCCTCAACTTTTCATCTACCTTACACACATTTACCAAACCTGTTTCCATAACATCCAAATTCACCACTCACTTCTTCTACCACCCACAGAGACTCCGTCTCAACTGCAGGGAAGTACTCTGGCGGCCAATCACCGCTCACCTCTGGCGACGCAGCCCATGCTCGCCCCTGATTGGCCGACGTAATCTTAACTACGGCTATATAGGTCGTGGCCACACCGACGCCGGACACTCCGCTCCCGTCAACCACACGGACCACATCTCTCACCTGCGGACATCATGCTGCCGGCCGGCTAGCCCCATTTCCACCACTTTAGAGCACCTCATCTGGTCTTCGGCAATACATATTTTAAATTAACGCGGAGCATTCTTAGGTTTCTTTTAAAAAAACTAAGTAACGTAGACTCTTGGTATTCATTGCACATAAACTAGAAAGCTCCAGCTTGACAAAAAACTTTAAATCATAATTATTGACGGATAAGTAAACTTTTCACACGCTTTGGAACATCTCAGAAGTTCGCGGTAGTCACTTTCCGGTAAGGAACTAAGGGACTCGGTTATTGTATCGAGTGGGGGGTCGAAACGATCGCAAAGGCGGTGTACTACGTATACGTGCCAAAATGAAAGGGAAAGGAAATGAAATGAGGATATAATTACTTAAGCGATCAGAGAGAATAAAACAAAAACATCAGAAAACTTTATGTGCAATGAACCTATAAAAAAAGACAGGTGGGCTCATAACTATGCGGAACTGGAACTATACTATCGTTGAGCAGTTTTTAGATCCCTACACCACCGATATTCTTCATATAGGAAGTAACGATAAACTTCTTCTAATTCAGCGAGTCAAATCGTGGAAGGAGATCCACGGTTGTCACTTTCCTCCACCCGTTGGAACTAACGTTCCAGTTAAACGCGTTTTTGAAGAAATTATCAATTCCTATCAGTGCCGCATATCCACATATTCATTAATGTGCAAGTGATGGTACGCTCCGATAACAAGGTTCCGTGACTAAATCATTTTTGTCTCGAGAGTCTCTCCAAAATGTATACATCATAGTGATCAAGTGTTCAGCCAATTAAAAAAATTGGCCTCCGGCCAATTGGACTGCATTTTGCAATTTGGAACTATAAATTCTGGCTCCTGTGGAAAAACACTTATGTGCGTAGGGAATCTAATGGCACATACGTTCTTTTTAAACTGGGCTAGAATTTATAGTTCCTGATTGCAAAATGTAGTCCAATTATGCCCGGCGCAAGCGCCGGCATGTGGTGGGGCTTCGTCCTCCATCATGGTGCGAGGATCGCACGAGACTCCCTCGCTTTTGCCGGCGCTCCGCACTGGCTTAGACACTTTTACTGGGATATTTAGAAAAATACTGCCAATTTCACAAAATCATTTTGATTGGAATTTTGATCGCAGGATAATAGCTATAAAATTTTTATTCAAACCACTGAACTTTTATTGTAAATGTCTTCGCGATATGTGATGAATTCAAATATTCGAACTCGACTTTTCGATATTATGAAGCATCTTCATTTAAATATGAAATTGATTAATGATGCCTCCTTTTAAAGACGGCGATCCGTAAAAATCTTAGCTTTTCTACGATTCATTAGGATCCATTAGATTCATTGACATCATACTTCAGATACGATTATACATTATAATCTTTCGTTAAGCACGGTCAAAAGCCATCAGAAATTTACTTTAATGGGTAGAATGACTATTTGATGTTTAAATAGTCTTAAAACTAAACGGTTTTTGCTTAGCATCGCCCAAATTTTAAATTTGGCGGGCGAAATCTCCCTGCTGGAAATGGTTCACCACCCGCCCGCCGAGAGCCGGAGAGCGCCACCAAATCAACATTCAATTAAGGTGATTCGATGGATGCCATATTTTGTGTCAGAACGGCATGCGATATATCGCATCAATTGTTTCCATTTTTCAGCTACTCGTCATTTTTCTCCAATTTTGAAATCGCAATTCTGTTGTCAGGAGTCTAAAGCATTCACTCACCAATTTTAACAAAGGAATTCACCGTAATGAAGGCGTGGTTTTTTCAGAGAGAAAATATCGCATTCGAGTGCAGTTTCGATATTAGTATCGAATGCGATGTTTTCTCTCTGAAAAAACCACGCCTTTATTACGTTGAATTTCTTTGTTAAAATTGGTAGGTGAATTCTTTAGTCTCGTGACAACAGAATTGCGATTTCAAAATTGGAGAAAAATGACGAGTAGCTGAAAAAATGGAACCAATTGATGCGATATATCGCATGCCGTTCTGACACAAAATATGGCGTCCATCGAATCACCTTAACATTCTTTAAGAAGACACATATACGCACGACCGACGGGTGAATGTGTAAGCCAGTTTTCCAATATAAAGCATTACAAGTCTATGGAAACATTGAGGCTTTACGCACCAGTAGCATGATACACTGAGAAGAGACACATTAATTCCAGAGGAGTTCGGCTGCTAGCAAAATTTTAGAAGCAAGTGGAAACACAACTTCATCCCCTCAGATTGAGACCCCGACAGACATCATCGTATTGATAGGAGGGATGATTTTCTGGTGGATAGTTGCTGAATCTGATCAACGAGAAATAGTATCTAGGACTCACTATAATGGGATATCATCAAATCATCAATCATTTATGAACAATTACTTAAATGATGACCAAGATCAGGGCCGCCGGGAAGAAATAACAGGTTGCGATCTGAGTACTTACTGTAACAACTAAATTTATCAAGGGTGCGGGAATTATAAAAGGATCGTATAATATGGATTCAGTTTTCTTCGGCTTTGATAAAATAGAAACACGCATCGATTAATCTATCTTATTCTTAATGTTAAAATTTAAATTTAAAATATTTAAAGTCATAATAGCAGAAATATAACCTAAAATTTGGCCTCTGGAGTCGGCACTCACCATCCACCGCGCGGTTCTACGGGTTGTTTTCAAATTCAAATGGGTTGTGAAGATTTGACGGACCCGACTTATCTTTCGATTAATTCTCCTTTCGACGTCCATATAAGTATGTCCGAATACTTTTCAGAGGTTTGATCCTTGGAGTTTACAGATTCTAATTATACCCAGTTTGATGGGTTTTATGCTACCCTTACCTCCACAGCCGTGACTACATGTTGACTATCGAAATGTCAATAAACCGACATAATTATCAATTGTTCTCCCTTATACCTCATTACTTTCAATTCTGCAAAAAAAGCGAGCTGCATTGTAAACCACAGATTTCAAATATCTATAGTTTTATAGGGTTTTTTTCTACGGTTATAGCTGTAGGTTGTTCTAAATGAACACGCCCACCTTCCGCGGCCGGGCGTTTCGCGGGCGGGCCTCGAACCTGCCCCGAATCTGTTCAGCGATTGGTCAATTCTATCATCGTCATGTTTTGGGGTCTAAAATTTGTCGTTAAAGCTTAATAACTTTTTTAAGGTCGGTAATCGTGTTTACACTTTCAGCCTATTCTTCAAGCGTTTCAAAAATGTTGACATAAGCTTAAGAATGTACATTACTGTCAATTATGAATAAGCTCCCCTCAGTTTCAGTAATTTCCAAAAAATAAAATAGTATCTCTACGTTCCCTGATTTAATTACGTATCCCTTCGAATCTTAAAATTCTCCTACTGCAGCTGGATTTCCCCGTCCCTCCTATTATTAAGCAAGTGGCGTTTTTAAATTACCCCTCCCCCACCCTTTTTTAATGTTGGCTGGGGAGGCTAAGATGCGTAACGCCCCCCCCCCTCCTCTCATTAAATTATATTAGTGTGAATGTGACAATGGCACACCCTGAAAGTCGCCTTTTAGAGTATTAGTGGGGCCGATAAGCATAACAATCGTGCACTTCTGGAAGAAAGCATGAAAATTTCAGCGATTCATCTCTACCCTATAGACTTTCGATTCAGACATAGACCCCAAAAATCTGACCTCCCTGGGGGGGCAGGGGGGCCCCCAAATTTTGAATTTTGAATAACTACTGAACGGCTAATGTTAGCGTAATTTTTTTTAAGCAGGACGATAGGAAATTTTATCAGGAACAAAAATGATTCTTATGAATTTTTCTGTGGGATCGATATTTAAGGCGTGAAACGGGAAAAACCATCGGGGGACGGGGAGCCGGCCGTTCTGAGGCAGATCCGCGCGCTGCGCTGTTTGCCCGGGACGCGCGCGGCGGCGCAGTACGGTGNAAATTTTTTCGTTATTATTTTTTTGGGGGAGTGGGAGGGGCTCGAAAAAGAGGGGGGAGGATAATCCCTTCTTCCCTCCCCCCCCCTTCGTTAAGTTATGTTAGTGTAATCGTGTTAATGACAAGCCCTGAAAGTCGTCTTACAAAGTTGAATTTTCGCGTTTAATTAACGTTTCTCGTGATTATTTTTTTGGGGGGAGGGGGAGGGAGGAGGGTGTACCACACTCCCCCCTGTCACCCTCCACAAGAAGTCACACTGATGTTCTCTAAGAACGAACGCCACTTGTTTTCATTTTGCCGCCCATTTTTGCGCATAACGCTGCTTCAAGGAAGCGGCCAATCTTGACGGTTTTTATAGGGTGGGTACTGCTGGGGGGACCCCCTTCCCCCACGAGGGGTTAGGCCGCCCCTCGTATGAAAAATTAATGCTCTATCATTTTAGAGATAAACAATTTTACGATATTACCAACCTTCTCCGCGTTATTGGCGAGAAATTGCGGCGAAACGGTCATTTTCGCGGTAATTTTAGATATTTTAACATTTTAAGCCCCCCCCCCATTTTAAGGGCCCGCGGGTAAAGTGAGCAGGTAAAGACCATTGGCGAAAGTCACTTAAGACTATTCTAGACCAAAATTTCACGAGCTTTCAGAATGGTTATCTGGAGTTTTGCCCAGAGTCGGAATTCTGAGCGATTTTGGGGGTTTTAGGGGGGGAGTCCCCCCCCACCACGATAGAATTCGCGAGCTTCAAGAAAATCACCATCTTCAAAATTCCCACGGGGGGGGGGAGGGTTACCCCTTGCAGGCCCACGGTCTAATGGTCCAGGAACCACGGGTCAGAATGGAGCCCGGCAAAGAAAAATTGCGAAATGGCCAATTTTTGTTTTTGGAGTTCATTTTTGTCCCTGGATAACTCAAAAGAGATTCCCCGAGATTTGCTAGCCGCACAAGTGTGAAAATATGTTCTCAAATAATTTGCTAAATCCGCAAAATACAATTGTACTAATAGCTTTTTCAACCATTATAATCGCAAAAAGACACTTCAATCGCAGCACCTATATCTGGTAAGGACAGGAATTTATTAGGCGGTAAAAATCGTAATATTGAGAATGCTAAAGTAGCGATCGATTTTATAGTTTCGCAAAATGATTAGTAAAAAAAGCAATACCGTAAGCTAATTCAGCAAACATTTTGCAAATGTGGAAGGAACGACATGCCCAACTCCGGGCAAAATCGCCATTTTTTAATAACCCTCTTTGAATCTCTCATCGTGCACAGAGCACGCACCAATAGGGTTCCAAAGGGTGGCAAAAAGTACGGACACTTGTTTAAACTCAAGCGTGGTTGTAGATATTGAGTCGCGTCTCAGACGAAACTTCTTGAATTGTTGGCCGTTGTGAGGAGGTCGTGACCCTTCGCCACCGGGGGGTGGGAGGCGGCAGACAACTTTTGTATCTTAAAATGGAACCCCCATCGAGTGATACCTCTAGGTATCACGAACCTTAGCTTCATTCATATTATATTTGTTAGACGCGTTTAACAAATGTGACACGCGTGAATCAGTTTTAAACCAATTTTGTGAATTTAATTCAAAACAGTATCACTTCTCTCCAGATTGGCAATTAATACGACCAACGCCTAACAAATACCTAAAGCAATAACAATTCTCCACCTCTACCCTCAATCAAAAGTCACCGTCATTAAATTTTTCTGGATCTTGAGGGTCTCCATGCGGGGCCCAGTAACCGCATACATTCTCCGGTATAGTCACTCCACGGAGGTCCAATCAGCTTGTTAGCGTAATTTTTAGGGGGATTGAGATATGGCTGACAAGGTGAAGAAGAGGAGGGAGGAGGGAGATGTCAGTAAAATCTTGGGAAAAAGTGGGTGACGTAATTGATGGACAGCTCCCCAGGCGGCCGATCGGCTCCCTCAGTAACTTACCTCGTTTACAAAATTCAAGTGCCGTAATCTTCCCGATGCCGGCGCTGCATCCGGTTATGACGGCTACTTTATCATCCAATCTTGCGTCGCTTTCGCACACTCCGCCTAAGAAACCGGGCAACTGGAACAATTACAAGCAGAAACGTTTGATGATTGCATGCCGCGGTGGACGTGCCATATATGGTCCTAGTCCCGAATTCAGTTCACGGCGTTGGCGCCGGCTGTTGCAAACGGGAGCTAGAAATCGGGTCATTCATAGCCAAAGTACTCCGGAGACCTCAATAGAATGCCCACCTATTTTAGGAATTGCCATACGCGTATCTTTGTCGCTCTATGGTTGGCTCATCAGTCGTTTCGGCCATTCATGGTGCTCTTTGGAAGTTAGGATTCAATGATCCTTTCAGTACAGGGATACTATGCCGCTTGCTGAATGGTTGCGCCCTGTTTTCCATTCATAGAATAGAGCCTCTCTTCATCTAGTTTTGGACCAAAAAGGTAAAAAATCAAAATGACTACAGAACTCTTGGGTTCTTTTTTTTATTTTTCAACTTATAAAGTAGATATTGAGCGCAAACTTGGTGGATATTTATTTTGACCTGCTTTTTATTGTTGTTCTGGTCCGATCCTTCTTTTATCTTCTTTGGGTTATATTTCTTCGGTTGTGTAACCTTAGAAGATAAACAGAGGATCAGACCAAAAGAACAAAAGAAAGTAAGCCAAAATAATCATGATATCCGACCGAATGTAAAATCCCATTAGCCTGGTGGATATTTTTGTTAAAAGAGACACTTTCCGTGAAGAATAAGAAATCATCGCCTGTGATCGTTTAGATGCCCAAATCAAATGATTACAGGCGATGATTTCTTATTCTTCTTGAAAAATCTTTTTTTTTTTTTTTTTTTTTTTTTTTTTTTTTTTAATTTAGGTATCACGTCGGGGTCACCATTATGTGGAACACTCAATCAAAGAAAGGGACGACTCCTATATTCCACAATCAACTATGAGTTTATTTAATAATACTAGGTTAGGAATACATCAGCTGATGAGTTAACAGGTATCATTAATTTTCTCTCTTGATAGTATAAGTTCCTCATGATCGGGTTTGTTTACGTCAGAGCTGGAGAACCTTAATAAAGCTTATAACTGGTGAACCAGTCAAAGAGTGGCACAGATATGACAACAAAACTCTCGCCTGTAAAAGCACTCTGATCTGACGTCTCCACGATGGCACCCTCCTCCTGCTCCTCCGAGTTTGTGTGTGTCCCTTTTTAACGTAAAGACTTAACCGTTGAATTCGTGTCTTTTTTTTGCAACTTGTAAGTAATGGAACATATTTCATATTTCATAGAGTGAGATAGGCGTTTAAAATTTCAATAGCAGGACCCATCTCTCCCATTGATCTAGGTACTCCACGGTCCGAAGCAGTGACCAACGGTGGTCTTCAATCAAGCTTGACTTGCTTATGCAACCCAAAGATCACTCCAAACTCCAGCGTTTCTGAGCATCCCATCATTATGGATGATATCATGATAACAGAAATTGCTAGCATGTGCAACATCTTAAAAATAAAAGTGCACTAATTTTAACCAAATTTCATCACTTCGTTTTAAAGGCATTAAACTTCCTTTTTCCAGCTTTGGCACGAGCTATCTTGATTCAGCACAAAGTTATAGTGGACAAACAAGCCATTGCATCATATGTCACCCGCGCGACTGCTGGGGGTCCACGCAAACATGTGGGCACTGTCAAATTGTGACGGAATACCTAACTGACACTTGAAAATGTGAAATCAAAGATGATACAAAAATGAAACTTGGCACAGGGCCTGTTGCGCGATTTTTTTTGCTTAAATTGAAAGCACCAAGGCTCCTGATGTCACAGAAATTTTCCCGGATTTTTAACGACCGAGAACTCCCAAAAAGTCAACTTAAAAACGCCCCGAAATTAGGATTTTTGAAACGGTCACTTTCACGCGGGAACAGATCCGGTACGCTCACAATTCATAATGAACCTGGTCTTTTCATAACTTACAATGCATTTTCCAACAAGGAATTGGCAGCCGCTTTTTACATGCAAATATCTAGTCAACCGATGATTTTTGACCGAAATGGCATTCAGAAATGGATTCCTGGGACGTTTAAATAGTTGAAACCTTCATATAAGCTAAATAAGTGAGAACCGACGGGATAAACGGAAATATTTACGGTAAACCCTATTTTTAAGGAAATTTGTAGTCAATGGGCCATTTGTTTTTACTTTTTTGTCTCTATTTCACTTTATGACAAAAATGTTTTGATAATTCTGGTAACCGAAGGAGAATCCTAATCCTTAATCATAGGTACCGGTCTCCTCATCTCATCAGTATTGTCACTGGTAGGTACCTAAGCTTTTTTTTTTTTTTTTTTTTTTTTTTTTTTTTATAATTAATGATTGATACTATCATTTCGGTATCTTCAGTGAAACATTGAAGGATGAAATATCGAGAAATAACAACTGACTCGCTTGATCCAGGTTTGAACGTTGGACTGCCGCAGCGTGTTTGGGATTAATATGTAACAATGTATAGGTACCTACTCTATGCAGTATGCACATACCCCCAAAATCGCCCGTTTCAAAATTTAACGAAATTCATAACAGTGATAGAGGGGCACTTCCGGCTTCCAAATCCGGAGTGGTTTAGTCCCCAGCCCCGCGAGTGCGACGTTGCCAATTTTTAAGTCGAGACATGTTCAACCCCATAACTTTTGAACAAATAAAGATACCCCTGTTAAAAATGATCAGTTGAGATCAGTTAAGATCAGTTAAGATCAAGTAGAGAAAATGAACTGATATTAACTGATATCGACTGTTACCAACTGATACCAGTTGAAAGTCAAGATATGGATATTTGATGAGTGCCAGTTGGTACTACTTAGTAGAGGTTGAACTGATACCAGATACTCAATAGATATATGTTGAGCCTTAATAGGTAACGGTTAAAATTTTCTATGTATCACTTCAGGTTCAATTGATGTCGGTTTAGCATGAACTGACATCTATTGAACATCAACTGATCCCAACAACAAATTTAACAGACGTCCATTAAAAGTTTAAATTTAGTCCGATAAGGCTCCGTATGCATTTTAACAGGACAACCTGGTTGGCATGTATGACAAGGCCCACTAGGCCACTTCATCAAGGTATTTAGACTTCAGGGTCACTATTTCAATAGAGATATTTAAATTATTTTAATCCCTTTTCCATTTTATTTTTTTCTACATGGTAAATGCATGATTTTATGGTTTTAAAATATCGAATAATGTTGATAATTTGAAATTCTACGGCCGTTCAAAGATTACGTCACTTGCTAAAGAAAGGAGGAGTTTAAGGACAGTGCAACACGTAGGAGGGTACCCAGCGCTGCTTGCTATTACACAAAAATCGGCCCCTCATACCAGTTTCATGGATTTGTCGGCACGGGAGCATGGATTCCTTTTATACCATAAATTTTGTGCAATGCCTACTTCAATTTGTTCTTATTTTGAAGAATATGCAGAATGCAGAATGTAGAATTTTCTTCGCACAGAGAAGAAAAATCACGGCAGTTTTAAAGAATTGCCGTTGAGTAGTTTTCCGTTTAAAAAATCAAGTATGACAGGAAGTCTGCGACGTCGCAAACCGAGTTATGTGATTGCCGACTTACACCGTCGATATGAAGCATGACAGGAAGAAAAAATGAAGCATAAATAATGAATATAATTTCGCTACAAGAAAATAACAAAAATAGTACATATCATGCGGAAAATACAGAAAAATTAAAACTTCTCTGTATGCCTTTTCATACGTAAGCAACATCATTATAATGGTTACCTTCAAGGTAAATCAGTCACATAATTATGATCACATCCACAATCATTTCGTCAGTCGTAAGAGCGTCAAACTGACTCTTACTTTGACTCTGTTTCAATCATAACGATGTCACAATGACGATACCTCGTCCGTGATTCCCGTAGTCATAACGATCATGCCACAATGACGATCGACCATAATTCCCGTGGTCATAACGATGTCACGCTGATAGTCACTCCTATCCTGTTTTCATCATTATGATATCATAGTTTGGGAACCGCTCTGTCAGAGTTAATGATAACAACGTCAGAGCGACATCATTATGGTCATTGTGATGTTGCTATGACGTTAACATGTTCAATATGACATCATAACGACGTCACAGTGATGATCACTGTGTTCATTATGATGGCATTATGTTTCACTTTTACCACGGTATACTGATGAAGGGAAATGATAAGAAATCAAAAGAAAATGTAGGTACCGCATCAGACAAAGCTTCTCTTCCGTAGTGTGTCAACCACACGAACACGTCATCCATTATGATTTTTCCTCTCCACAAGAGTCCCGAGAGTAAAGTTTGCCAGTTATCTGCCATGCCGACTTGGTTGCTGTAATCGCCTATTTTTTTTCCTTCAGAAATCCATCTAAACTGCCTAAACAAGGTGAAAAGGTTATGAGTACTTAGTAGAATTGTATTAGGAGTAACATTTTCGGTGGAATACGAGGTCTGTTAGATTAGAAACCGGATTTTGGTCATAACTACCTCACAATGCGTCCAAATTACGTTTTCTTGAGCTCTTCTGATAGCTAGAAATATACTTAAGAACGCTACGTTCACCGCAGATTTTGTTTATTTTGATCAGTGTTTATTCTGTGTCATCTTGAATACGAGTAAGTCAGGTGCGTTTTGCGATTTTCATCATGCGATCACTGATAGAACAAAGATTCAACATTAAATTTTGTTTTAAACTCGGTAAACCTTGTACCAAAACTTTTGGTATACGCTAAGTAAAGTTTACCATGATCATTGTATGAGATGTTCCCACTGTTTTGAATGAGTTAAACGATTCAAAACTGGTCAGGAGTTCGTCAAAGATGAGGAGCATGGGAATCGACCCTCAACGGCAACTGACATTTGTCGCGTGGAAGAAATGCGGGCAGAAGTGCTCGAAAACGGTCGTTCGAGCTTGTTGAACAGAGTAATATTTCTGAAAACTCTGTACATACAATTTTGATAGAAGATGTATAGACACGCATCGAGTTTCAGGTACACTTGCCCCTTGATTGTTGTCCGTTGAACGAAAATCCAACCAAATGTCAATTTCCCTTTAGCTGCTTGAACGTTCTAACAGTGATCCTACATTTTTGGATAGGATAATTTTCGGTGACAATATTTTATTGTACGGCTACGATATGGAGACAAAACTCCAATCGTCCTTGTGGGTTGAAAAATGTAGTGCAAGACCGAAAAAAGAGATACAAGTTCGGTGGAACATAAAAATCGCAAAACACCCTTGAGGTTGCCTTACTTCAAGCCACATACCAACGAAGCTCATTAGGATTTTTCAAACTTGTGAACGTAGCGTTCTTAAGTATATTTCCTGCTATCAGAAAAGCTCAAGAAAACGTAATTTGGACGCATTGTGGGCTAGTTATGACCAAAATCCGGTTTCTAATCTATCAGACCTCGTATAAGCAAAAAACCTATCGATATTATGAGTCAATAAATCAAGAGTGGCGGTAGCCACCCCCGGTCGAGGAAAATGACGTCCTACTAAAGTCCCGATAACAAACGGGTGGCCGACACTCTTAGTCACAGCCAACTCCCTTAATCTGAAAATTGATTCGATTTAGAATGGAATTTAGAGCAAACGGCGGCACGGATTCCAACGATCTTGGTGTCTATGGACGCAGCTAAGTTAGCCGGATGGCGTTTAAGGGTTTCATTCAGATCCATTGAGTTTTCAAAAACTTAAAAGCACTTAATGACCCAAAACAAGGAAAATTTTACTTTTTACTTTGCCGGAAAGAATTTCAAGAATCCAGGGTCCTGAGAAAGTCACTCAAACTCCGCGATAACGGTAAACCTTAGACCCATAAAAGTGGGTACCTAAAGAATCGCCATGTTACCGTGTCCACGGGCTTTTACAGTTTTTTAACATTCCTGGTGTTCTAAAAGAGAAATTAAGGAAAATACGACTAAACTGCCCGTCATGACCATCTTTAACAACAGATTTCTCGCTTACCCGGCCGCAGATTGTAATGGAGCCTATATAAAGGGCACTCCGTGAAGATGTGAGGATTTCATTTTGCCACATAAAAAAGAGCTTTATCTCACGGATAATCCAGCATCCGCTTACATCCTTCAAAATTTTAGCTATAATTATTGAATTTAGAAAAAAACTAGTAATATAATGGTTCAACGCCATTGGTTCATTCTGTTCAGGTTCGTCCGAGTTTCGGGAACGAAATTCCTGTCGTCGTTATCAACCCAAGTAGCATGGATTGCAATTTCATTGCAATAGATTGTGAGTTGATTGCAATTTTTGCTTGTTGCCTATACGTTCATTTGAAGGCGCTTAAAAAGTTGCAATTTTATTGCAATAAGTTTGCAAGAAATGTAGATTATGCTTGTTGCCTAACCTTCTTTTTCAAGGCACTATAAAGACTGCAATTTCGGTGCAATCATGTTGTAACAAATTCACGCCATGTGCCTGGCATCCAATTCTCTAGTTGTTTTAAAGTTTTTTCGACTT